TTTTGAATGCCCGGAGCCAACTGTAGGCCACTTCGTGCTCTTCGACTTCCCAGAACTCCATTCCCGGGCCACATTTTGGATGCCCGGAGCCAACTGTAGGCCACTTCGTGCTCTTCGAGTTCCCAGAACTCCATTCCCGGGCCACATTTTGGATGCCCGGAGCCAACTGTAGGCCACTTCGTGGTCTTCAAGTTCCCAGAACTCCATTCCTGGGCATGATTTTGAATGCCCGGAGCCAACTGTAGGCCACTTCGTGTTCTTCTAGTTCCCAGAACTCCATTCCTGGGCCACATTTTGAATGCTGAGGCAGGCTGATGCTGCAGGCTGAGGCTGAGGCAGGCTGAGGCTGAGGCCGAGGCTGAAGGCAGACTGAGGCTGAGGCTGAAGCAGGCTGAGGCTGAGGCTGAGGCAGGCTGAGGCTGAGGCTGAGGCAGGCTGATGCTGAGGCAGGCTGAGGCTGAGGCTGAGGCTGATGCAGGCTGAGGCTGAGGCAGGCTGAGGCTGAGGCCGAGGCTGAAGGCAGAGACTGAGGCTGAAAGCAGGCTGAGGCTGAGGCAGGCTGAGGCTGAGCAGGCTGAGGCTGAGGCTGAGGCAGGCTGAGGCTGAGGCTGTGACTGCGACTGCCGTTGCCACTGCGACTGTCATCGCGAATGCGACTACGACTGCGAGAACAGCAGAATTCTACAACTGGATTCTCATCTGAATCTTAAGGGGAATGCTTCCAGATATGCTCCTACACATCGCTATTAGGTTGCTTTGCCGGGATAATCCTTTTCCTCCCGCTCATGGTCCTGCTCATCCGCCACATCCTCCCCCTTTGCAGGCAGCTCCCCTTTTCACGACTGCGCATAACACGAAGGGGTCTGTCCGTGGGAGTCGCAGGTCGGCTATGACATGTGTCCGAGGATAATGACAATTTAGAACTGTGGGAAGGGATGGAAGAGGGGGGTAGGATGTTGATGTCAGACGAGGCGCGAGCGCACCTAGCTTGTCCTCTTCCCCCTCGCGCCCCGCCCCCTCCCTCCTCCCTCTCCCTCCCCGTCCCCTTCCCATCACTCCCTTCCCCCCCTCCCCCCTCTCACCCCCCTCCCACGATCAGTCAGCATCGAATCGGAAATTCGGATTCAATCGACATGTGCGTCGGATCGGGCCGCACCGGCACGGAACCGAACTGAAATCGAATCGGATGAGGAGGAGAAGGAGGACCGCCAGTCCTCGCTTCTCCTCCGCCAGGTGCCGCGGCAGCCCGCCCCTGCCCCGCCCACATATACAATCAAGCAGTGTGAAAACTACTATCCCTCCCCCCCTGAAGTTGTCTGGAAGATCTCCGGCCCATCCACGTGCTGCTTTTTGAATACAGGATTTCAAGCATTATGAGTTGTATAAATGGTTTCCCGCTGCAGCGTGGGCTTCATTCGGATCGGCGCGTTGCTCCCCATCGTTCAGAATGGCGCTCTCGCTTCAGCGCGGGCCGCTTTTCTGAATCCGAGTCTTGCTTCATTGTCGTCGCCCAACCCTCATGTCGCTTCCTCCGCCTTCCCTTGCTTCTCCTGTTCCTCCCGCTCCTTCCACTCCAGCTCGTGCTGCTTCTCGTGCTCGTCTCGCCCCAACGCGGGCCACTTTTCTGAATCCGAATCTTCCGTCATCGTCGTCGCAACCCTCACTTCCCCTCCTCAACTTTCCACTGGTCCTCC